ACTGAGACTAATTAACAGCATCAAAAATTAAGAACTTTTGTAAGCATATACCTTCTATAGGACCCAGCCAGTCCACTCCTAGGTATTTATCCTAGAAAAATAAAACCACAGATCTATAAAAAGACTTGTATCCAACTGTTCACGGTAGATTTATTTGTAAGGGTTTCAAGCTGAAAACATTCCAACTATTCATCAACAGGTGGCTGGATAAACAAATTGTGGTATACTTACTCAGTAGTAAAAAGAAACAAACTACTGCTGCACATAACAACATGGATAAATCTCTCAATAACTGAGCAAATAAAGCCAGATACGAAAGACATTGTATGATTCCACTTACATAAATTTCTAAAACAAGCAAAACAAACCTATGGAGATTAAAGTCAGAAAAGTGATTACCTCAGAAGAGGATGGTAGTCCAACCTGTTTATTTATTCTTTGGTTTCCCTTGCCCAAGGAGACAAATAAAAGAATATCACTAAGAGTAATGTCAAAGAGTATACTGTTTATATTTTGTTCTAGAAATTTTATGGTTTTGAATCCTACATTTAAGTCTTTAATCCATATTGAGTTTATTTTTCTGTATGGTGTAAAAAAGTGGTCCAGTCTCTCAACACCATTTACTGAATAGTCTGTCTTTAACACATTGTATATTCTTGTAATCTTTGTCATAGATTAATTGAACATGTAGGCGAGGGTTGATTTCAAAGCCCTCTATTCTGTTCCACTGATCTTTGTGTCTGTTTTATGCTAGTACCATGCTGTTTTGATTACTATGGCCTTGGAGTATAGTTTGATATCAGGCAGCATGATATTTCTGTGTGTTTTTTTCCCCCCCTCAAGATTTCTTTGAGTATTTGGGGTCTTTTCTGGCTGCATATAAAATTTAAAATTACTTGTTCTAGTTCTGTGAATAATACCTTTGGTGTTTTGATCAGGATTGCCCTGAATCTATGGATTGCTTTGGGTAGTATGGCCATTTTAACAATGTTAGTTTTTGCTATCCATGAGTTTGGTATATGCTTCCATTTATTGGATCTTCTTCAATTACTCCCTTCAATGTTTTATAGTTTTCCCACTACAGATATTTTACCATCTTGATTAAACTTATTTCTAGGTATTTTATACGTTCTGATGCAATTACAAACGGGACTGTTTTCTTAATTTCTCTTTCTAAAAGTTCATTATTGGTGTGTAAGAATGCAACTGATTTCTGAATATTAATTTTGTATTCTACTGAATTCATTTATTACTTCTAATATTTTTTGTTGGGATATTTAGGGTTCTCTTTGTATAGTATCATGTTCCCTGCACATAGAGAGACTTTAATTCCTCCTTTTCGACTTGGATACCTTTTCTTTCTTTTACTTGTCTGATTGCTCTGGCTAGAACTTACAGTTCTTTGTTAAGTAAAAGTGGTCATTCTCGTCTCACTATCAGTATAATGTTAGCTGTGAGTTTGTCATATATGGCCTTTATTATGTTGTGGTACGTTCACTCTATCCATTTATAGGAGTGTTTATCATAAATGGATGTTAGATTTTGTCAATTGCTTTTTCTGCATCTATTGACATAATCATACAATTTCATCCTTCATTTTATTGATGTATTGTGTTAATTGATTTGTGAATATTGCACCGACCTTACACCCCCCAAATAAGTCCCACCTGATCATGGTATATGATCGTTCTGATGTACCTCTGAATTTGGTTTTCTAATATTTTGTTGGAGATTTCTGCATCTGTGTTTATCAGGGATATTGGCCTATAATTTTCTTTTTTGTAATGTCTTTGTCTTATTGTGGTATCAGGATAATGTTGATTTTATAAAATGGGTTTGAGAGTCTTGTCACCATTTCAGGTTTTTTGGAATATTTTGAGGATAGGTAGAAATTGTTCTTTGAATGCTTGGTAAAATTCACCTGGGAAGCCACTGGTCCAGGACTTTTGTTTGTTGAGAGATTTTTCTTAAAAGTCACTGATTCAATTTTCTAAGTGATATTGCTCTACTCAGTATTTCTGTTTCTTCTTTATTTAGTCTTGAAAGATTGTATGTTTCTAGGAATTTACTCATTTCTTCAGTTTGTCCAATTTTTTTTTTTTTTGCATATAATTGTTTATAGTATATTCTCATAAAAATCCTTTGTATTTTTGTGATGTCATTTGTCACTTCTTTTATTTCCCATTTTATTTATTGGATTACTCTCTCTCTTTTTTGGATTAGTCTGACTAAATGTTATCAATTTTGTTTATCTTTTCAAAGAACCAGCTCTTGGTTTCATTTATCTTTTCTGTTTTTAAAATTCTATTTCATTACTTTTTCACTCTGATCTTGTACTTCACAACTTTAGTTTGAGATTTAGTTTTGTGCAATCAGCTTCAAACAAATACAGTTGATATTCAAGCATTCAACGTTAAAGTTCCCCTTTGATCAATATCCTCGATCCTAATCTCACTTTTAAAATGGCACTAATAATTTTGTATGTGTCAAGTAATATTATAGAGATGGCATAATAAAAAATTACCTTAAGTAAGGGCTGGTTCATGTAGTGTTACAGAGAATGAGGTCCTTTTAGAGGAACTCTGTTACTACTGCTCAGGGTTTGAGATCACCACTGCTTCCAACCAAGTCAAGGGTTGTGGAAGGAATACAACGATCTGTATGTTAAGAGTGGAGCAATTTAAGCCAGTGAGAGAAAGACAAATACCCTATCATCACATTTATATGTGTAATCTAATAAAAAATAAACGGATGAATAAAATAGAAACAGAGGCATGGATACATGGAACAGACTGACAGCTGTCAGAGGGGAGGGGGTAGCAGGGGGCTAGATGAAAGAAGGTGAAGGGATTAGCCAAAGAACATATATAACCTACAGACACAGACAACAGAGGGAAGGGAGGCGCAGCCAGGTGGAGGTGGGCACGGGAGGAAATGGGGACATCTGTAAGAGTGTCCACAATAAAAATAACATTAAAATAAGAATGAAGCAATTTTATACGATTGCATATGGCTACCTCAAGAAAATAAAAGGCTTTCTCATTTCAAAATATTGTAATAATTAATAATTATATTAATGCCTATGTTGCTTGTATAGAAACTTGTAGGGCAAGAAAAGTATTATTGCCAAGTCAATTTCTCAGGTAAACCTTACTCTCTCCACAATGACTCAAATTGTATTACTAATTACTACGAATCCCACAAATTTGTTGTGAAATAATGCAAGATACAATGAGAGAGTAGAAATCATTAGTTGACCAGAATGCTGTAAAATAGTACAAAAAAATCACATTTGATATCAAATTTTTAATAAATAATTACATATTTATTTGCACCTAGGATACAACTGATTGAAAGATGAGTCCCAACTTCAGAAATGTTGTAATGTAAAAAAGCATCATAAAATTGATACAAATAGTAATTTCATATTATACAGTAAATAGAACTATCACTTTTCTTTCTGTTTAAAATTTTATTTTTATTTACATTCAATATTTTTTGTTGGTTTCAGTTGTATAGCATAGTGGTTAGACAAGCATATACTTTACAAAGTGGTCCCTCCAACTATCACTTCTAATTACTAGTTTTCTGGAACATTTTTTATATAAAATAGTTCAGCATCTAATAAGGGCATATGAATCCATTATGCTATTTTTTCCCCTATGGGTGTAGGCTTCCCCTTGTCCATAAACTGAGAAATAACTACAAAAACACTATTAAGACAATATATTGGTATTACCATTGAGTATCATTAACTTTTAAGAATTATTTTATATGCTATCAATCTTTTCTTAAGACATAAAGATTACAGATAAAGCTAAAAGCTCCCTTTAATCAATACCCTTAATCCTAACCTCCTGCCAGAGACAGCAGTAACAATTTGGTAGGCATCCTTCTAGTTCATTTTAAATAGTTGAACATAACATTTTAATAAAAGCATAATTCTGTTCTTTATGAATTATTTCATTCCAATTTACATGAATGTCATTATATAATATGGATCTTACTTTTTTTCAATCAACACTGTTTTAGATAACTACCCATGTTACAAAATACAGACATAGTCCATTGCTTTTAACTGCTGTTTACTATTCCACTATTTGAATATGCCACATTTTACTCATCTGTTACCCCACCAATATTTAGGTTGTTTTCAATTCAGATATCTATATCTATATAGTCGTATATTCCTTATACATATTTGTGAGTTTCTTTAGAATGTGTATCCAGAAGTAGAACTGCAGGGTCCTTTTGTCTTTTAAAAAACCCTTTCCCTGCCTCAAAGTAATAGACAATATCCTGTATTTACTTCCAATAATTTCAGAATTTGGCTTTTCTCATTCCAGTGTTCAAATTCTTTGGAATTCTGTTTCTTTATATGTTGTAGGGTTGTATGTAATTTTATTTCCCTCAATATAGAGTCAAACACTCCAATAATTTCTACTAAGGAGGCCATCATTTCCCAATTGACTCATGATGTCATATCTAATACATACTAATTTCATATATATTCGTTGGTTTATTCCTAGGTACTCTATTCTGTAAAATCTGTTTACTTACCTACTCATGCATTAATACCACACACTACTTAATGACGATAACTTTATAATATGTGTAGTATATGGTAGGAGGTATGTTCTCTGTTCTTTTTCAAAATTGTATCAGCAATCCATAGACTTCTATTTCACATGAATTTTAGAATAATTTTGTAAAGATCCTAGAAAATTCTTGTTAGATACTTGGAACTATATTAAGTCTATACATTAATTTTAGGAGAACTGATATTTTTATGATATTGGGTTTTGTAGATACATGGTATTTCTATTTTATTCAAGCCTTATGTCCCTCAGTAAAGCTTTTTACAGTTCTTCCATAGAGATCTTAATGATTTTTTGTTTATGCCAAGATATTTTAAATGTTAAGTATAGGTTGAATTTAAGAAAAAGCCTTCTCTCATTTGGTAAACTCATAACTTCTCACCTATATATGACCTCTCTTATGTATAGAAAGGGATGCTCTTTGAGAGAAAGCTTTCCCACATTCATTACATTCAAAGGGCTTCTCACCAGTATGACTTCTCATATGTATAATAAGTAATGAGCACTGAGAGAAAGCTTTTCCACATTTATTACATTCATAGGGTTTCTCCCCTGTATGATTTCTCACATGAAGAGTAAGCGATGAAATTCGAGAGAAGGCTTTATCACACTCATTACATTTAAATGGTTTTTCTCCGGTATGAATCTTTTCATGCTCAAGGAGATTTTGTCTCTGACTGAAAGCTTTTCCACACTGATTACAATGATAGGGCTTCTCTCCAGTATGAATTTTCTCATGTTCAGTGAGATTTGACTTCTGGCTAAAGGCCTTCCCACACACAGTACATGCATAGGGTTTCTCACCGGTGTGAATTCTCTGGTGTCGAATGAGGTTTGACATCTGAATAAAAGCTTTCCCACATTCATTACATTCATATGGTTTCTCTCCAGTATGAATTTTCTGATGTGTAATGAGATTTTCTTTCCGGCTGAAGGCTTTTCCACATTCATTACATTCATACGGTTTCTCAGCTGTATGATTTCTCCTATGTACAGTAAGGGAAGAACTTTGAGAGAATTCTTTCCCACATTCACTACATACATAGGGTTTCTCACCTGTATGACTTCTCATATGTATAATAAATACTGAGCATTGAGAGAAAGCTTTCCCACATTTATTACATTTATAGGGCTTCTCCCCTGTGTGACTTCTCATGTGTAAAGTAAGGGATGACATTCGAGAAAAAGCTCTGCCACATTCATTACATGCATAAGGTTTCTCCCCAGTATGAATTTTCTCATGCTCAATAAGATTTTGTTTCTGGCTGAAGGATTTTCCACATTCCTTACATTCATAGGGTTTTTCTCCAGTATGAATTCTCCCATGTTCAATGAGGTTTGACTTCTGACTGAAGGCTTTCCAACAATCCTTACATGCATACGGTTTCTCCCCAGTATGAATTCTCTGGTGTCTAATGAGGTTTGACATCTGAATAAAAGCTTTTCCACATTCATTACACTTATATGGTTTTTCTCCAGTATGAATTTTTTGATGTGTAATAAGATTTTCCTTCCTGCTGAAGGCTTTTCCACATTCCCCGCATCCATACGGTTTCTCTCCAGCATGTATTCTCTCATGTCTGAGGAGGTCAAATTTATGACTGAAGTGTTGTCCACATTGATTACATTTAAAGGAGGTTACAACATTGGATGAGCAATGAGTAAGTTTCCCATACTTATTACATTCATATTTTTTTTCTCTTATACAGCCTTTCTCATAACTAAGTAAGTCTAAATTATGTTCCAAACCCTTACCAAGTGAGTCACATTCACAGAAGCTTTGTTGTGAAGTAACAATGTCTGAACTCAGAGGAAATAGTTTTGTAACTTTTTTACATTCAATGGCATTTTCCATAATCAGAGTTTTCTTGGAGATGAATGTGACTTTCCTCAAAAGTGTTTCCTGTTGCTTCTTGATATGTTCATCAACTCCTGAAACTTCTACAATGGAGGACCAAAGATTACTACTTTTGAATTTTTCTACTACTGCACTAATAACATTTCAGAAATCTGCATGTGGGGTTATCTTCATTTTAGCTTTAGTCCCCCAATATGAAAGAAACACAAAGTGCTAATGTCCCTAGTTCATTAGGTTTGAGAAGTTAACTCCTATGGAAAATATTATGGAAGGAAAACTAACATTTATAAACACAAGTAGCTTTGATTAATTTCAAAAGTATACTTAAACAATGCAGAAATCAGTAAAATGAATATAAGAGTTAAGATAAAAGGGTAAAGACATAAATGATGGACAGGAATACAAAAAACTAGGGGATAAAATAAACAATTGTGGATCATCAAAGTGGACTGAATGTATGTTTATTTTCTCCTACTTCCTAAAATACCATTAAAACAAAACTAAAAGAACAGAGGATCAGGTAGAGAATCCAAGATGGTGGCAGATTAGGTGGAAGGTACACTCACCTCCTCCCAGGACCAAACTGATATTACAACTAAAATATAGAAAAATCAACCTAAATAACTAACTGAACACTAGCTGAACAGAAGTCTTATAACCAAGGATTTACAGAAGAAGCCACATCAAGATTAGTAGAAAGGGCAGGGATGAGAAAAGAGCTAGCCCCACTCCCATGGTTGGCAGCTAAAATTCTGAAGGGATACCTTAGCGGAAAAGGTTCCCTCTGAGCCCAGCCCACATGGCTCAGTGGTTGAGTATCGACCCATAAACCAGAAGGTCACAGTTCGATTTCCAGTCAGAGCACATGTCTGGGTTGCAAGTTTGATGCCCAGTAAGGGGCGTGTAGGAAGCAGTCAATCAATGACTCTCTCATCATTGGTGTCTCTCTCTCTCCCTCTTCCTTCCTATCTCTGAAATCAATAAAAACTNAAACCAGAAGGTCACAGTTCGATTTCCAGTCAGAGCACATGTCTGGGTTGCAAGTTTGATGCCCAGTAAGGGGCGTGTAGGAAGCAGTCAATCAATGACTCTCTCATCATTGGTGTCTCTCTCTCCCTCTTCCTTCCTATCTCTGACATCAATAAAAACATTTTTTTTGGTTTTTTTTAAAAAAAGGTTCCCCCTGAGGAACATGGAGTCTCAACATCAAGCCAGGCTGCCTAGCGTAGAACACTGGAGCCAAGAAGAGGTGCCTACATACCATCTGGCTGTCAAAATTAGCAGGGATTCTGTCCACCAGGGAAAGACAGTAGAATGCTAGAGACACAGGCACCCTCTTAAAGGGCCAATGCACAAATTCTCATTTGCAGCCACTCACCCTGGGCTCTGTGGAGAGAGGGCAGAGAAGACTAGAGTCATGTGAGAAGAGACTAGGGTTTGTGACTCTGGGGAAAGAGCTGAAGAGACAGCTGCCAGGATTCCTGAGCTGAGTTCTTCTACCACACTGCAGATGCCATCTTTCTTGGGTGAAGTACTCCTATCCTTACAGAATCATCCTGGGGTAATTAGCCCCACTCTCTGGACTCCCTGTTGCCCCACCCTATAGAGCTCATGACCTGCTGAGGAGTAAGCTACCTGGGCCATGGTGTAGAGGTCTGGGCAAACTCAAGAGGTGTCAGTGACTGAGTTGTGTGGCTCTGAGCAGGAGACACTCCTCCCACTTTCCCCACACCTGGCCAGCACCTCACCCTCACAGTAAATCCGCTAGCCCCATTCCCGTGTCCCAGCACACCACTCTGCTGAGATTGGGCCCTGGGGAGGATCTGGGATAGACTTGAGTTGTGTGGCTCTAAAATGTAGGATATTTTTTCCCTCGCATGCCTGACTGGTGGAAAGCCCTCACTTTACAAGGCCAAATCCTGATCTGTTTGGGCCTGATAAACTCCACTGTCCTTACCCTCACAACTATACGTCAACAAAATGAACAACTTGGCAAAATAGACAAATTCCTAGAAACATACAGTCTTCTAAAACTGAATCAGGAAAAATCAGAAAACCTGAATAAGCCAATAACAACTGATGAAACTGAAGCAGTAATAATAATAATAAAAAAACTCCAAGCAAACAAAAGCCCTGGTCTAGACAGCTTCACAGGGGAGTTTTACCAAACATTCAAGGAAGAACTAACACCTATTCTCCTCAAACTATTCCAAAAAATCCCAGAGGAAGGAACACTTCCAAACTCTTTTTATGAGGCCAGCATTATCCTAATTCCAAAACCAGATAAAGACACTACAAAGAAAGAGAATTATAGGTCAATATCCCTGATGAACATAGATGCTAACTTCCTCAACAAAATATTAGCAAATTGGATCTAGCAATATATTAAAAAGATCATACACCATGACAAAGTGGGATTTATTCCAAGGATACAAGGCTGGTACAATATTTGCAAATCAATAAATGTGATACATCACATAAACAAATTGAAAGACAAAAATCACATGATCATATCAACAGACACAGAAAAAACATTCAACAAAATCCAACACCCATTTTTGATAAAAACTCTCAGCAAAGTGGGAATAGAGGGATCATACCTCAACATAATAAAGAGCATATATGACAAACCTACAGCCAACATCATACTCAATGGGCAAAAACTAAAACCATTTTCTCTAAGAACAGGAACAAGACAGGGATGTCTACTTTCACCACTCTTATTCAACATAGTATTGGAAGTCCTAGCCACAGTGATGAGACAAGAAGAAATGAAAGGCATCCTGTTTGGAAAGGAGGAAGTAAAATTATCATTATTTGCAGATGACATGATATTGTACATAGAAAACCCTAAAGACTCCACCAAAAAACTACTAGATTCAATAAATGAATTTTGCTATAGTAGCAGGATACAAAATTAATAAACAGAAATCAGTGGCAATTTTATACACTGATAACAAATTCTCAGACATAGAAACTAAGGAAACAATCCCATCTAATATTGCAACAAAAAAATAAGAAATCTAGGGATAAACTTAACTGAAGAGGTAAAAGTCTTGTACTCAGAAAATTATATGACACTGGAGAAAGAAAGAGAGAAAGATGCAAACAAGAGGAAGCATATACATGTCCATAGACTGGAAGAATTAACATCATTAAAATGTCCATACTACCCAAAGCAATATATAGATTCAAAAAATACCTATTAAAACACCAATGGTATATTTCACAGATCTAAAACAAATACTCCAAAAGTGTATATGGAGGCAAAAAAGAACCCAAATAGTCTTAGCAATCTTGAGAAAGAAGCAAAGATGGAGGGGTCACAATACCAGATATCAAACCATACTACAAAGCCACTGTAATCAAAATAGCCTGGTACTCCCATAAGAATGGGCATATAGATCAATGAAACAGAACAGAGAACCCAGAAATAAACCCATGCCTTTATGGTCAATTAATATTTGACAAAGGAGGCAAGAGCATCCAATGGAGTAAAGACAGTCTCTTCACTAAAGAGTGTTGGGAAAATTGGACAGGTACATGCAAAAAAATGCAACTGGACCACTAACTTACACCACACAGAAGAATAAACTCAAAATGGATAAAAGACTTAAATGTAAGTCACAAAGTCATAAAATTTCTAGAAGACATAGGGACTAAAATTTCAGATATCTCTTGGAGCAATACTTTTGCCAATATGTCTCTGAGGGCAAGGAAAATACAGAAAAAATAAAATGGGACTACATCAAACTAAACAGCTTCTGCACAGCAAAAGAAACAATCAACAAAATGAAAAGTGAACCCACTGAATGGGAGAGCATATTTGCCAATGATTCATCTGATAAAGGGTTAATCTTCAAAATATATAAAGAACTTACACAACTCAACACCAGGAAGACAAAGACTCCAATTAAGAAATGGGCAAAGGACCTAAATAGACACTTCTCCAAGAGGTCATATAGATGGCCAATAAACATATGAAAAAGTCCTCAAGGTCACTAATAATCAGGGAGATACAAGTCAAAACTACAATGAGGTATCACCTCACACCTGTTAGAATGGCTACTATCAATTAAACAACAAACAACAACTGCTGGCGAGGGTGTGGAGAAAAGGGAACCTTAGTGCATTGTTGGTGGGAATGCAGACTGGTGCAGCCACTATGGAAAACAGTATAGAATTTCCTCAAAAAATTAAAAATGAAACTGCCTTTTGACCTAGCAATCCCATTTCTTGGTATATATCCTAAGAATCCAGATACACTAATCAGAAAGAATATATAAGGATTGTAGGGAGTGGCATCAGAGCAATCACAGAGTGATAGATACCCTTGGCCTCTTCCCCTGAAATTTCAACATATTAACCAACTATAATTCAAAAATGAATTCCCTACTCAATATAGAGGCACACCTGAGAGATCCGCATACTGAAACATCTAAAGGTGGGCAACTGGGAATAAGTGGGGAGATGAGAAGGGAAGAAAGCCCAGATGGTCCACAGACACAGCCCTGCAGCAGGAAGCTCAGGGTGCAGTCAGGAGAGGGGAGGAAGCTGGCCATAGCAGGCGCTTTCTTCAGCTGGCCAGGAGGAACAGAGAGCTGGGGGGGCCAGCCCAGCCAGGAGAGCAGAGTGAACAGTGACTGAGCCAGCAGATGCCTGACAGAGCATGGGGTTGTGCTGCGTGGCTACCTACTGTAGCGCCAGGGTGTTTCTGAAAAAGAAATGGAAACGCAGAGCCATGCTGCTCCTTGGACTCCCAAAACTTGCCTCTTGTTGCTCTCAGTGTTGGGTTGGGGAACAGTTTATCTGTAAACCAAGAGCTATTGCACTGAAACAGCTGTTTCCCTCTGTGATGGATCCCCAGGTTTGGTGGTTGAGGTGGGATGCCACAGAGGGAGGTCGGGGTTACCATTACCAGGAGGGCAAAACAAACCCCACCACCAAACAGTGCAGCTGTACTGTCTCACAGAATCCCATAGAGGTCAAGTCTGGGAGATCACAGAGGTTAAAAAAAAAAATCTTGCAATTCAGCGCATCTACCAGAAAATAGCGGAAATAGAAAGACCTCTTTGGAGAACTCTGCTGAAGGGACATTTATGCCTAGATAACGGAGAGGAGCAAATACTATGAACAACCATGCTAACAAGGATGATCAGAAATAAAATAAAAAATCCCCAGAAAGCAAGCTGGAACGCATGGAAATATGTGATATAAATGACAGAGATTTCAAGATTCCAGTTCTGAAAATACTCAACGAGATGTGAGAAAATATAGACAGGCAATTCAGTGCACTCAGAAAACAAATCAATGAACTGACTGCCTAAGAAAATGAAGACAAAAAAAGGAGAGAATTTAAGGGTCATGAGGCAAGACAATATCCTAAAAGTAAGGCTGTAAGTAAATTAGGGAAGGTTGGCATCCTAAAATCAGATGGGGCTACAGACCCTCTAAATTTAAAAAAGGCAGATGGCTGCAATATAGGAAGAAAATAGTATCTGGAAATGTCACAGGTATCCAATCCACTCATACCATTTGTCACGCTAGAAGACTATAGCCTTTAAGAAAAGCTTGGAAAATGTGAAATACCAGCTCCCTGAACAACTGTCACGTGGCTTTCTCATTTAGAGCTGCCTTTTCACTTATTCACCTGGACAGCGCCTCCCACACATTTCTTTCTCCATCACCCATGGCTCCTCTTCCTGTTCCAACTTGAAGATCACATCTGGTTTGGTGACTTGATAGCCTATTATGGGAAACAGCAAAGGATTTGGATGCCAATCTGGAGACGGCCATGCAGATCTTGGGCTAAAGCCTGTGGGCTTGAGGGCATGTGAAGGATGAAGACCCAGGAGCTTCCACAATGAGACAAGGTAACTAGCCTTTCCTGTCAAGACCAGTATGTACAGTATGTGAAGAAAGGGAAGGCTACGTTCATCCTCCAAGTTAAAATCATCACGCATTTTAAAAATGGGAAGGAATTCCATGTGAAATTGCAAAGCTACCCTTACCCACTGTGATTAGGTTGCTATAGTTTTCCAGCATCACATCCCGGTACAGGTTCCTCTGGGCAGGTTTCATTTGCTGCCATTCCTCCTGGGTGAGGTCCACAGCCACATCCTTAAACGTCACTGTTTCCTGTAAAAGCACACCCCTAATTAATATGAAGTCATCAAAATTAAACACAATGGTCAAAACATGTAAGAAATCATTTAGCTAATATTCAAGAGAGTTCATTAAAAAGTGTATATTAGCCCGGCCAGGCGTGGCTCAGCCGTTGAGCGTCGACCTAGGATCCAGGCGATCGGGGTTCGATTCCCGGTCAGGGCACATGCCCGGGTTGCGGGCTCGACCAATGCCTCTCTCATCATTGATGTTTCTATCTCTCTCTCTCTCCCTCTCCTTTCCTCTCTCTGAAATCAATAAAGATATATTAAAAAAAAAAAAAAAAGTGTATATTAAAGTCTTCACACTTACCTAATCTGTATTAAACTCTGGGAGAAAACAAACCATGGTAGAAATATACAATAAGATTATGTTAATTATTGAGTTAGTAAATTTATGAATTCATCAGTTATTATGCAGGAAACTGGAGGTAGTAGTCACTAATTTGTAGTGGTCTGTGACTGAGATGGGAGAATTAGACATGATTCTCATGTAAGTGGCTCAGAGTCTGTCCAAGTGATCATGTGATCTAGTGAAAAAGGGAACATGAAAAGTGTGGGAGAAAAAAGAAATAAGGCAGAAGGAAAGAGGAGAGGTGTGGAAATTTGAATGTGTAAATTTGACATTTCTATAGGACTTCGAGACGGAAATGGCCACTATGCAATTAGAGATATGAAGAAAGAAGATGAGAATTTGTTGGCCATCATCCTAAAATGGGGAGCTGAATCCATGGCTGTGTGGTTGTAGAGAACATACATCGTGGGTAAAGGGCCAAGGACAGAGTCAACAGCTAAGCATCAAAGAAAGGGACTCGGGTTTTTGTTTCTTGTTTGTTTTATTTACAATTATAGCATTAGAATTAAAATCATGAAGGTGGTGTAACAGAAGCCAAGAAACAAATGACAGATTTTTATAAAAGAATGTTACTTGATCATATACTCTTCCTCCCGACTTAAAAACGTCAATATCCACATAAGGAAAAAGCTCTATGTGCAAAGGCTCTAAGAAAGAAAAGCACCCATATACCCCACATCTGAGAGAATTAGTACAAGAAAGAATACAAAAGAGATTGGCAACATGGGAAATAAAAATGAAAGTCACTGAAGGCTGAGTCACAGTGTTTCTGAGACTCTCTCTCTGGCCTGTGATCATTACTACCATCTATATTATCATCAATGTCATCTACTGAGTACTTATATGTACCAGGCACTGTTGTAATTTCTTCACCTATAATAACTTTTTAAATGAAAGGTAATTTCTTCAGTTATGATGACTATTTATTTATTTATTTGTTTATTTATTCTGTTAATCCTCACCTGAGGATATTTTTCCATTGAGTTTTAGAGTGAGTGGAAGGGAGGGAGGAGAGAGAAAGAGACATTTAAAAAACTGGCCTTGAAATTATAAGAATTATGGAATTATTTTGGAATATCTTTTTTACTTAGGTGGCAATGAGAAGCTTTTTCTTTCCTTACCTCATACACAGTGCAAACTATAAAATGGACTTTGTGTTCCCTGTTTGCTTTTGTTTCTCCAGATCATACTCAAATCTGAGCTCGACTTTGATAATTGTATAAACCTGTTTCTGATATCTATCTGTATTTTCCTTACTTCGATTTTCACCAATTTAGTTCTTCCCAAGTTACTGGTAGGTTTAGGTACTGCACTGCAAAATAGTTCAGGAAATAAATAAATACTTAAAACATACAAGAGACTTGGTCATATCTTCTTCCTCAGAAAGGACTGAGTCCTGAGAACGCCAAGCTGAGGGAAGAGAAATAAAACAGATTTAGTTCAGACTCCAGAAGGAGGAGTACAGAAATCCTCAGCACCAGGGGGCTCTGGGGCCAGAGCACAGAGAAACGTTAATCACCAGCAGACTATAAAGACACTGAAATGTACATTTAACTAAAAATGACGAATTTAATCATGTAGGGTCTGATGGGAATTTCAGGAGGGCTAAGTTTACGGTGCCCAATGAATCCACTGCCAATATAGTATTTCCCTAGAATCCTGCTATTTTATTCCTAATGGGAAATTTATCCTACATATATAATAATGAAGATTTAAGGATTAAATCATTATGCAGCACTGTAAAGAATTTGGAAAAAAACCTTTGATTAGAGACAAGTTACAGGCATTATGGAACATTCAAATGATGAAATGAAATTCAGTCATGATTCTAATGACATTTTAAAGTAACTTAACTGATTTGTTACCCTAAAAAATTCAGGGCCTTTAGGTTAAAAATGTAAGACTGAATGCTTGCTTTTGTTTCTGCTGTGTCCCAAATCCAACCAAAATGAAAATAAAGGAACAAAGGAAGCCAAATTGTATAAGGACTTAAGCAGATAAGAGATGTCAATAAAATTTTGGAAGCTGGAGAGCACATGACTGGTATCTAACTTAACTTGGGAAAACCATGGCGGAACCCTTACAAGGCTTAGAAATGGAGGCACCAGGTACTTCTGCAGGCAAATATTTGGGGTGGGGCTGAAATAGGCAACTGCATGTAAAGTGGGATTGAAATATAAAGAAAATAAAGGAATTAAGTAAAAATTGTCATATTGAAAGATGAGGTACTCCCCTCAGCTTTATTCCTTTATTTGCCTCCCTAAAGCAGAAGTTCTGGCTTAAATGCCTCAAGAAAATCTAGGCCTTCTTGCTGGATACACTGACTAGCCCAAAAGAAACTGCATACAGATGCTGATATTTAGTCAACCTTCAATCTCCAATAAAATACCATATTAGAAAGATGGGCAAGTGATAGAAGACGATTTGATTGTGGGTGGTAGACACACAATACAATATACAGATCATGTATCATAGGAATGTACACTTAAAAAACCTACAAGTGTTTGAGAAAAATAGAAATTGCATTTAAAATAATTAAGAACTCGCTCAGCCAGTGTGGCTAAGCAGTTGAGCATCAATTTATAATCCAGGAGATCTCAGTTCAATTCCTGGTCAAGGCACATGCCCGGGTTTTGGGCAATCTAACTTTACACTTAAAGAATTTGAAAAAGGACACAAATGAAGCCCAAAGTGAGAAGGAAAGAAATGATAAAGATCAGAGCAGAAATAAACAAAATAGAATCTAAAGAAAATACAAATGATCAATGAAACCAAGATCTAGTTATTTGAAAAGTTAAACAAAGTTGACAAACCTTTAACCAGACTCATCAAGAAAAAAGACAGAGGGCCCAAATAAATAAAATCAGAAATGAAAGACAAGTAAAAACTGACACAAAAGAAATACAAAGAATTGTAAGAAAATAATACAACTAATGCCAAAAAATTAGACAATCTGAAAGAAATGTATAAATTCCTGGACACATACAGTTTTCCCCAACTGAATCAAGATGAAACAGAAATCTGAACAGGATGATTACAACTAATGAAATCTAAGCAGTAATAAAAAAAACCTTCCAACAAACAAAAGTCCTGGACCAAATGGCTTCACAGGGGAATTTTACCAAACAATCAAAGAAAAACTAACACCGATCCTTCTCAAACTATTCCAAAAAATTTAAGAGGAGAAAAGACTCCCAAACTCATTTTACAAGGGCAGCATTATTCTAATTCAAAAACCAGATAAATACCCTACAAAGAAAGAAAATTATAGGCAGTTGTCCCTGACAAACATAGATGCAAAAATCCTCAACAAAATATTAGCAAATCTAATTCAGCAATACATTAAAAAGATTATACACCCTGATCAAGTGGGATTTATTCCTGGGATGCAAGTTTGGTACAACATCTGCTAATCAATTAACATGATAGACCACATAAACAAAATAAATAAAATCATATTATCTTACCAATAGATGCAGAAAAAGCATTGGACAAAATCCTGCACTCATTTATGATTTTAAAAAACACACCTCTCAGTAAAGTGGGACTAGAGGGAACAGATCTCAATATAATAAAGACCATATATGACAAACTGACAGCAAACATCATAATCAATGGGTAAACCAAAAGTGTTTCCCTTAAGATCAGGAACAAGACAGGGAGGTCTGCTTTCACCACTCTTATGCATCATATACTAGAAGTCCCAGCCACACCAATCACACAAGAAGAAATAAAAGGCATCCAAATTGGAAAGGAACAAGTAAAACTGTCATTTGCAGGTGACATAATACTGTATATAGAGAACCCTAAAGATTCCACCAAAATACTAGAACTGATAAATAAATTCAGAAAAGTAGCAGGATACGAAATAACTATCCAGAAATCAGTTGCATTTTTATACACTAATAATGAGCTATCAGAAAGGGAAACTAAGAAAACAATCCGATTACAGTTGCATAGAAAAATACCTAGGAATAAACTGAATTAAGGAGGTAAATGACCCATACTAATAAAATTATAAGACACTGAAGAGAGCCATAGCCGGTTTGGTTCAGTGGTTAGAATGTCAGCCCTCGGACTGAAGGGTTGGATTCCAGCCAAGGGCACATACTTCAGTTGCAGGCTCTATCCCCTGGCCCAGTTGGGGTGCATGCAGGAGGCAACCAATTGATGTGTCTCTCTCACATCGATGTTTCTCTCCCACTCTCTGAAAAGCAATGAAAATAATAACTAAGAAAATAACACCCTTTCCTATCTATCTTGGCAATTGAGGTAAAACAGAGCTACAATTTAGAATTGCCGTACCTTTCATCTGAAATGGGAATTATACTCCTGTCACAATGACACTGGATGAATAAGTAACATGGCTATTAAGAAATTTTAATTTATCACCTGCTATGAGCCTTTGCTACATAAAGGGTAAAAAAATGATACACAATTAAGTAGACTAATCCTTGCCCTGAACAACATAACAGAAATAATAAAACAAAAAAAACATCGAATTATAATAAATTTTGAAAAGTGCCATGTTTGGAATATATTCCCAATATTCTTTACATGGTTTCTATTTTTCCTCTATGGCAATTATCACTAACAAACTATTTATCACACATATTGTATGTCCATCCCCTCATATAAACTCTGTGATAACAGGGAATTATTTTTGCCTGTTTTGCCATTGATAGTAGGTGCTCAAAAAATATGTTGATAAATAGGTATAGCTACTATGCAAAACAGTATGGTGGTCAAAAATGAAAAATAGAATTACCATATGATTCAGAAATTCCACTTCTGGTTATAGAACCCAAAGAACTGAAAACAAGGACTTGAACAGATATTGAACACCCATTTTTATAGTAGCATTAATAAGTCAAAAGGTAGAAGAATTTAAGTGTCCACTGTCTGATGAATGGATAACCAAAATGTGGCATATACATACAATGGAATATTATTGAGACTTAAACAGGAAGGAAATTTCACACATGCTTTAACATGGATGAAACTTGAGGACATTATGCTAAGTTAAACAAACCAGTCACAAAAGAACAAATATTGTCTAATCTGGTTTATATGAGGTAAGAGAGTAGTCAAATTCATAGAGACAGAAAGTTGAATGGTAGTTGCCTGGGACTGGGAGATCAAAGGAATGGAGAGTTATTATTCAATGGGTACAGAGTTTCTGTTTCGCAAGATGAAAAGAGTTCCATGGATAGATGGTAGTGACGTAGGCATAGCAATGTAAATGTAATACCACTGAACTGTAGACTTAAAAATGGTTAAGGTAGTAAAATGTCTTGTGTGTGTTTTTAGCTTTATTGAAGTATAATTGATGTTTTAAGAAACTGCATGTATTTAATGTCTATATCTTGATGAATTTGGACATATGCATACCTCTGTGATACTACAACCAAGGTACTAAACGTATCTACCACCTCCCAATATTTTCTTGTGTTCTTTTGTATTTTGTGGACTTTTTCTTTTTTTTGGTAAGAACACTTAACATGAGATCTGTTCTCTTAACATGTATTAGAGTGCATAATATTGTCCTGTTAATATAGGTACTATGCTGTACAGATCTCTAGAACTTATTCATCTTGCATAATGGAAACTTTGTAACCATTGAAAAACAATTCCCCATATTCCTCTTCCCCTAACCTGTGGAAACCACCATTCTATTCTCTGCTTCTGTTTTACAAACCTCATATAAATGGAATCATGTGGTATTGTCCCATGACTGGCTTATTTCACTCAGCATACTGTCCTCAAGGTCCATCCATGTAGTCACAAAAGGCAGGATTTCCTTCTTTCTTCAGGCTGAATAATAATCCATTTTATGTACATAACACATTTTCTTTACCCATTTATCTGTTGATGGATATGTTTCCATATCTTGGCTATTATGAATAAAGCTGCAATGAACAGATATTAAAATGGTAAATCTTATGTGTTTTATATATATATGTATGTGTGACACACACACACTATTACTACTAATTTTGAGTATTTAAAATTAGAAGAAATATATCAGACAAGAATAACATAGAAATGGGTGAGTCATTTGGAGTGAAAGGGTTCTAAAATCTGACTTAAGTTTGGCGTTTTTAAAGGATAAGAAAAGAAACTAAAGCAATGGGAAGGGAAAAGGAGATAAGGTTAACCTGCACACAAAAAAAGGCATAGTAAATAGAAAATAAAACAAATTTATATTGGCAATTGCAATAAATGTAAATGAATTAAACTCACCTATTAAAATAACAGTCAAACAGGGTAAAAGGGAAAAGTCCAGCAATATACTCTTTATAGGAAACAGACCTGAAGCATAAAGACATAATGGAAAGGAGTTGGAAATGAAATTCCTAAAAAACACTCACGATAACAGAACCTGAAAAGTAGTATTATAAGACAAAAAAGAACTTGGACTACAGGGCATTCACCAGGATAAAGAGGCTTCCTTCCTTCCTTCCTTCCTTCCTTCCTTCCTTCCTTCCTTCCTTCCTTCCTTCCTTCCCTTTCCCTTTCCCTTTCCCTTTCCCTTTCCCTTTCCCTTTCCCTTTCCCTTTCCCTTCGCCCCCCCTCTCTCTTTCTTTCCTTTCTCTCCCTCTCTCTCTCTCTCTTTATTGATTTCAGAGAGAGGACGGGAGAGAGATAGAAACATCAATGATGAGAGAGAATCATTGCTCGGCTGGCTCCTGAGGCTCCTCCCCTACTGGGGATGGGTTGAAACCCAGGCACTTGCCCTGACAGAGTCCAATCTTGATCTCCTGGTTCATGGGTCCACGTGGGCTCAACCACTGAGCCACTCCAGCAGGCCAAAAGGCTTGTTTCTTAATGTGGAATCTTGGCACCAATTCTTTACCCCCTCCCCCCATAGGATTATACATTCACACCCTTTGCCATGTAATTTTGTCTTGCCTTCTGACTGTGGTTGGACACGGAGGTTTTAAGGGTGTTTTGTACACTCCATCTTGTGCTCTAGTGATCCACGATGAGAAAAACATGTCCTAGTAACCACTATCCTTTTAGCTTGAGCTGCAGAAAGAACACACGTGGGGCAGATCAGAATTCCTCCCGCAGTCCAGCCATTCAGCCAAGCCCAAGCCAGATAAGCTGAATACAAAGGACCTGCAAACCAGTTAACATGAGAATGAATGTTTGCTGTTGTACGCCACTGACTTTAGGAGTGGCTTGTCAGGCAGCGTTATTATCACGGTAATAACTAACGAACACATCTAATAGAAGCCATAAGATGATGAGATAGTCAATCTGGAAAAGCTCACCTAGGAAAACTGGAGAGAACAGGGCCAAAAACTTCGGGGGGGGGGGCAGCAAAGTAGACTAAGGAGTGGCCAGTGGGGAGGGGACCCCTTGAAACCAAATACAACAGAAAATCATTTTCAAGAGTTATCAACTATGACAAACCCTAACAGAAGTCAACACAAATTGAGATAAGACCCACCACATACCACAAACACCTCACTACAGGCCTTTCATGACAACCACACAGACAACACCACACACGTCATCATAATCACACACAGCTACAAACGTCACCGTGACGCTCACCCCCGTCCCAGTTACTGTCACACTCACACCACCCTCACTCTCACGCACAGCACCCTAATCACACACACACTAATTCCTGCCGGTCTCCTGTTCCAACAAGCACAACCACTCTCCAGGAGCGCAGTCCCGCCGCGAGCCCCCCGCACGGCCCTCACTCTGGACACGCGGGGCTTCCTTAGAGGCTCCGTCGGTCTGCAGCGCGCGAGGTGCGGCCCGGCCCCCTCCCCGCCCTCCTGCGGGGCCGCGGCGGCGTCACCCCGGGAAACGCCCGAACGCACACCCGGCGCGCAGCTCCCAGGAGGCCGGGCGAGGCGCCTGGAAGGCGGGCGCCGGCCGGAACGGAGCACAGGCCCTCCGCCCCTGCTTCCCCACGGAGGCGCCGCGGCACAATGCCTCCCAGAAGGCCTCGCGGCGCCGCTCAGTTCCGGCCCGCCGGCGTCCGGCGTTTCCTGGGAGAGGGAGACTGAGCCCGGGCGGCTCCCGGGGCTCGGCCCGCGGCGCCCAGCTGCTGCGAGTCGCGACTCCTACGACGCGGCCAGCCGCAGAGAGTTGCAGGAGCAGGTCTTTCGGGGAGGCGGAGGCGGGGCGCTGAGAGAAACCGGCCGCGGGTCTCGCTCGGGACCACATTTCCCAGAGGGCCCGGCGCCCTTTCCGAGGGAACCCGAACGTCGCGTCCGGCCTGGCGGGACCGTTGAAACTGTGAGGTGGGGAGACCGTGGGCCCCGGGGAACCGGCTCGGCTGTCAGGTCGCAGCTCCGGCTAGATCCCCGGCCCTGGTCGGGGTGTGTGTGGGAAGCGACCAATTGATGTGTCTCTTTCACATCAGTCTTTCTCTTCCTTCTACTCTCTCTAAAAAGCAATGGAAAAAATATCCTTGGGTGAGGATTAAAAAAAAAAAAATTATCCAACTAGAGTTTTGATTGGATTACTTTGAATACATAGACTAAGTTGGAGAAAATTGACAACTTTATAATATTAAATTGTCTCTTCCAGAAGCATGGAATGTTTCTTGATTTATTCATTATTTTAATATTTTTATTATTAAAGATTATTCTCCATAGCACATATTTTTATTATTTATTGAGTTACTTTCTAGATTTTTAAATAGATTTTTGTTGCTTTTGTGATCATCTGTAATTGTCTAGCAGAGAAATACTGGTGCAGAGAAATACTAATAACTTCTTCTTAATATGTGAAAAGGAGTTTAATCTTATTAGTTATTGGGGAAATGCAAATTAAAACTGCAATGGGATAGGTTTTTGGTGGAGTCTTTAGGGTTTTCTATATGAAGAATCGTGTCATCTGCAAAAAACATGACAGTTTTACTCATTCTTTTCCAATAGGGATATCTTTATTTCTTTCTCTTGCCTGATCACTCTGGCTAAGCCTTCCAGTACTTTGCTAAACAACAGTGTCCAGATTGGGCATCCTTGTCTTGTTCCTGACCTCAGAGGAAAAGCTTCCAGTTTTTCACCATTGAGTATGATACTACCTGAGAATTTGTTATATATGGCCTTGATTATGCTTAGGTACTTTCCTTTTATACCTATTTTATTGAGTGTTTTAATCATAACTGGATGTTGTATCTTGTCAAATGCTTTTTCTGCATCTGATATTTTCATATGATTTTTATCCTTTAACTGGTTAATGTGGTGTGTCACATTGATCAATTTGCATATGTTGAACCATCCTTGAGCCCCTGGAGTGAGCCCCACTTGATTGTGATGTATTATCTTTAATGTATTGTTGTATTCAGTTTGCTAGTATTTTGTTTAGGATTCTTGCATCTGAATTCATCAGAGATATTGGTCTATAATTTGTGTGCATGTGCATGTGTGTGCATTATCCTTGCCAGGTTTTGGTGTAAGGGTAATGTTGACCTCATAAAATGAATTAGGAAGTATTGCCTCTTCAGTTTTTTGAAAGATTTTGAGAAGATACATATTAAATCTTCTTTGAACGGTTAGGAGAATTCACTAGTAAAGCCATGTTATCCTGGACTTTTACTTTTTTGAGAGGTTTTTGATGATTGTTTCAGTTTCCTTACTGTTGATCAGTCTGTTTAGATTTTCCAGTTCTTCGTGACTCAGTCTAGGAAAGTTTATACATTTCTAAGAACTTGTCCACTCTAGCTAGTTTATTGAATTTGGCGGTGTATAGTTTTTCATAGTATTCTTATATAGTCCTTTGTATATATGTGGTGTCCTTTGTAACTTCTCTTTTATTTGATTTGTTTGAGTCTTTCCTCTTTTTTTCTTAGTGACTCCAGGCAGAGGTTTGTCAATTTAATTAATCTTTTCAAAGAACCAGCTCTTTGTTGCATTAATTTTTTTCTATTGTCTTTTTGTTTTCTATTTTAATTCTGTTCTAATTTTTATTATTTCCTCCATCTGTTGACTTTGGTTTCATTTATTCTTCTTTTTTAGTTCTTTAAGGTGAATTTTTTGGGTNTTTATCTATCTGTCATCTATCATCTATCTATCATCTATCATTTTTCTATGAAGATGTAACTGTAAATAGCAATATACTTTTAAATTAAAAAATTTATTGCTGACATTATTACAGATGTCCCCATTTTCCCCTCTTTTGCCCCTCTCCGCCCAGCATCCACCCCCCTTCCCTCTGGCCATCACCACACTATTGTCTCTGTCTATGGGTTAGGTATATGTGTTCTTTGGCTAATCTCTTCACCTTTCATCCAGTCCCCCCAACCCCCTCTCCTCTGACAGCTGTTAGTTTGTCAGTCTGTCAGTGTTTCATATATCCATGCTTCTGGTTCTATTTTGTTTGTCATTTTATTTTTTTCATTAGATTCCACATATAAGTGAGATCATATGGTATCTGACTGGCTTATTTCACTTAACATAATAATCTCCAGGTCCATCCATGTGGTCACAAAAGGTAAGAGTTCCTTCTTTTTATGGCTGTATAGTATTTCACTGTTTAAATGTATCACAGCTTTTTTATCCACTCATCTACCAAGAAATGTTAAGTTTTTCACTTGAGATTTTTCCTGTTTCTTGAGATAGGTCTGTAATGATGTAAGCTTTTATTACTAATTTTGTTGTATCCCCCAAATTTTATGTTGTATTGTCATTCTTATTTTTTCTAGTTACCTCTTGATCTCTTTGTTTCTTCTTTAACTCAGTTACTGTTTAGTAGCATACTCTTTTTTTAAAAAAAATATTATTTTATTGGTTTCAGAGAGAGAAAGGGAGAGATAGAAACATCAATGATGAGAGAGAGTCATTGGTTGATTGCCTCCTGCACGCCCCCCACTGGGGATCCAGCCTGAAACCTGGCATGTGCCCTGACCAGGAATCAGACTGTGACCTCCTGGTTCATGGGTTGATGCTCAACCACTGAGCAACATTAGCCAGGCAAGGACCAGTTTTTCACATGGCGCTTCAGAGAGAAGAGAAGGAGAGGCAAGAGTCGTATGGGGTCCCTGCTGCTCCATATCATTTCTAGCCTGACCTGGAGGTACCTCTAAGGTACCACCCCCCAGCCTCTAGTTACAGCCACTTCCTCTGACCCTCCCCTGACTTCCTCTGAGCTTCCAGGGGCCTGAAGTCTTTCTTTCACAGATTTCACAAACTTATCAGCTCTCGTTTCCTGGCTAGTCTTTAAAAGAAAACTTCAGCCCTGGCCAGTGTGGCTTAGTTGGTTGAGTGTTGTCCCGTGCACCTAAAGGTTGCTGGTTCGATTCCCAGTCAGGGCACATAACTAGATTGCAGGTTTGATCCC